AAGGAGGAGTACGAGCGTGACAGGCTTAGCGGAGTATAGGCGAGGCGAATGAGAGCATTGCGCAGAGAGACTGCGATATTCGACAGCTGACCTAGTCGACATTACTCATGAGACTGAATAGCCATCGCCAGACCACCTCGAAATGAGCCTAGTCGTGAGTTGTTCAGTTAACGGAGCATGCGAACGAGTATGTTTAGAGCGTTGAGACAGTGAAGGAGCAAAATGGGACGAGGAATGTTAGAGACCACAGTTGGGAAGGAGAGAGAACGGGAGTATGGGAGACGCAACGTGGTTTTGTCATATGAAGGAGTTGTAAAGCCAATCGACGTTATTACGAGAGAGAGAGACAGAGAGAGAGAGCGCGAGAGAGAGAGAGAGAGAGAGAGAGAGAGAGAGAGAGAGAAAGGAGAGAGAGCAAGGGAGAAGAACACATCTGTTACCGTGGAACATTTGTAAACTCTTTTAACCAACTTTAACTCACCTTACCTAAACTTAACTAACGTGACTAGACTTCTAAACTAAGACTTTTAACAACTGCGATAGAGAAAATTCTTAAAGTTTGAGTGCAGTTGAGTCTTTAAGTCCGCTTATGGATCCACTAGAATCACGTATAGATATATGGTAAAATTCTGTCGAATTCAAAATTTTTTTTTGTTCGAGCTCGACCTCGGTGGAGAAGGGGTTCCCGTGGTGTGGCGGCGCTGGAGGCGGACAGTCGGGCAGACTGTATTGTAGCATCTGTCGGTGTAATTCCTTCAAATGCTGCACGTCTTCCGGGTCATTGTCCTCATCGTCTCGATCATATGCTAATAACCAGATATATAATACCTCTCTATCAAAGAGCCCTGCTCGTATTGAAATGAAAAATACCCGTTTGCTCATTTCAGAGAAATTATTGCCTGGTAGGCTGTGAAACATACATACATACATACATTCATTCAAATAGGCTGTGAAACAACTGTGCCGGCCTTCATTATTATAAATTTGTTCCGTGTTTCGCAAGTATGAACATCGCACGTTTGAGAATAAAACAGGTTGATGGTGTGTGGGCGGTTGATTGGGTGTTTTGGACTCTAAGGGTACATTCCCAGTGAACCTTACACTGTAATGTGAGTGGCAATTTATCTAACATGGGTGACATTTTTAACCCCTGTATATAAGAATAAAATGACCACGTAGGTGCCCTCAACGGTTACAATTGAATGGCTTGCCGAGTGTATTTCGCTGCGCTGCTACACTATAGGCCCCCCCGGGCTCTGCTGGCCTCGGGCAGAAAGTACTGTCATTTCGAAATACTCTCGCTATCATCTCACTTTTACTTTCGTGGACCATTTTCAGCGATTCTAGGGGAGTATCTCCCGCTCTCTTACATTAACTGGTGCGTCTGACTAGCACCTCGACTCATTCCCTTACGACTATATGCCTTGATGAGTCGTTATGGCTTAATAACAGCCAACCTTGCCATCTGCGGCATGTAAATGCGTACCTGACGCATTCTTAAAGGGAGAGTTAACTCTAGGTTCTAGGGTTATTTTGAGCTAATTTAGGTTATAATTACGCTACATAAGAAGTTTCATGGTTCAATCACACTATTAGAAATATTTTTTTAAATGACTACGACTACAGTTTGTTAAAACAACGGTGGCGCCACTCAAAGCGCACGATCTGATAAGTTGCGCAAAGCCACTTTCCAGCCAAGGGCT